GGAGCGGTGGGAAGTTTTGTTCCAGTTCGGTCGATAGATCACGCGGAAACGCTCGTTCGAGACGCTGCACTGCATTCTCCATCCACTCCGTGACAAAACATGTATGGCAACACATACTTGCTCGTGTTCAGCTCTTTGTCCGAGCTGTTCGTCTCCTGTTTCGATCGGATGATTCACCGCCGCGGATTGTTTGTGGTTTGTGTGTTTTGCTTAAATTTTGTCAGTCCGTCTCTTTCATTTCCTGCGCGCTCGCAGAGTTGTCCTTGTTATCAGTTCGTCGCTTCTCGTTGACTGGTCGCGATACATCCCATGAGCCTCCAACTCCATGCGTTGAATCCGTTTCTCGCTCCGTTCTCCACAAATCAATGAAATCCACCAAAAATCCGTCAGTCTCGAATTTTTTCTTTTTATTGTTTTTCTTTTTAAATTATTTTGTTAGTGGCATTGTTTGAATCGCTTTTCCATGTTTATTGTTGTTTTGCTGCAATAATGAGCGAGCAAACGGGATGCGCGATGAGTTGTCAACACACCCAAGCAGCAATCATATGTGAATGCATGCATGTGTATCTGCATGTGTGTGTGTGTGTCTCTGCGTGGAGACAGATGACGATGAGCGTCGAGCCAAAACAACGTTTTGTGTATTTGCCGCTCTGTTCCACTCTCGACCTTGTCGCTCTGTCGCTGCTGCTGCTGCTGCTGCTGAACCCTGCTGCTGCTGCTGATGTAGCTCGTTCGTCGTGGCTCTGCCCGTCTATCGTTCCACCTCGCGCTTCCCCAGCCCACCGTCTCATCTCCGTCGTCGTCATCGTTCGACGCGCTGGTTATGCTGCCGACTCTATTTTTTTTATATTGTTTTTTTTTTTTTAATGTTTTCCCATTCACTCGCTCTCACTCTGTCGCACTCTGTCGCACTCTGTCGCTCGTCCCCTTTTTTCGCTCGTCCCCTCTATAAACCGACACTCGCTTTGACGCCATGTTGCTTACGTCGTTGAGACCTCGCTTCGGTGATTCGGTTTAATCTGACATTCGGCAAGCGACC